CCCGCTCCCGAGCAACCCCCCGTCAGCGACAGCTGGAGAGATGGGTCAGGGCTGGGATTTCCGAGCAGACCCACCAATCAAGGTGCCCCCATCCGTGTGGAGATCCACACCCAGCCCCTCAGCTGTGGGGGATGGGGGGGGGGATTTTCAGCACAAGGCCCAAAACCCACGATGCGAAATTCTTCGCACAAGGATAAACAGCCCAGCTGTGGCCCCGCCTCACTTGACTCTCTCCGGGGCTGGCCCCGAGGCCGGTTGTGGGACCCAGAGGCAGAGACCAGTGGAGCTGGTTGGAAAAGCTCAGGGAGAGACCCCTGCGCATGCGGGATCCGATCCCGTTGGTGAGGGGTCAGGGGTCCTTGGGCCGGAGCGGGCAGGGGTGGGGTCTTGCCTGCTGGCTGCTGCTCATTCTACTTTAGCGTCCCTAGCGGTGACCGGCCCCGGCCTCTGTCCTTCACACGGGACGGCGCCGCCTTCTGGCCAACTCCCTGTGGGGCGATTGCGGCCTGAGAGCGGGAGACCGGTGTCCACAAACCCCTGACCGCGCCGGCCCGGACAGCCGCATCCTCATCTGCCTCAGTGATTGTTATGCAGAGAGAGAAAGCGCCTCCCCTTTGCTCAGACCTGTGACCGCTCGTCTCTGCCCGCTGCGGGGCTGTGTCGGTGTCTCAGCTGTGCCCGATGCACGTCACAGGAGCCGCAGTTGGAAGGCTAAAGATTCACATGTCCACAAACCCCTGACCGCGCCGGCCCGGACAGCCGCATCCTCATCTGCCTCAGTGATTGTTATGCAGAGAGAGAAAGCGCCTCCCCTTTGCTCAGACCTGTGACCGCTCGTCTCTGCCCGCTGCGGGGCTGTGTCGGTGTCTCAGCTGTGCCCGATGCACGTCACAGGAGCCGCAGTTGGAAGGCTAAAGATTCACAGACCCCTTAGGCCGTGTACCGAGCCCCCCTCACACTCCGTGGAAAAGCGTCAAACGCGCCAGGGAGCGCTTCAACCCGGCCAGAATCCGGGCTGGTTTGCAGGGGAGGGAAAGGGGCTTCCGGCTCCCAGCTCTGCGGGAAATCTGCCCTCCCCAGCTGTTTCCCAGGCCAATGGCTCCCTGGGGCACAGCCCCTCCCCCACACTGAGCCAGGGACCGGCTCTGCCTGGCCCCTCAGAGCATGGCGGAGGGGGGGAGGGGAAGAGAGTCCACAGATGACTTTCCTCTCCCCTCCATCACTTGAGAGTCACCAGCCCCTCAGTCCCTGTGTGAGCAGACACAGTCACTGCAGGGAGCTGCTCGTTCATGCAGGTCCCAAAGTGTCAGGAGGGTCCCAGCGCCCCGTGCCCGGCGCTGCACAGACACCCAGGCTGGGGCAGTTTGACTCCTGCACCCGGAACCCTGGGGCGAGTCACTCAGATCCCTGGCAGGAGCAGCGAGGGGCTCTTGTAACGCGGGGTATGCAAATGAGGGAGTCAGTGTCCTGCTTAAATCTGTCCCTCCCTCTGCCCAGGCTGCACCTGCAGGGAGAATCCGCAGCTCCCTCGGTCTGGGCAGAGACCAGCCAGTCCCCGGAGAATTTTCCCTCCAGCACAGAGACAATGAGACTTTGGATCCTAGTAATGCTGCTGTAGCGGCTTTGGGAGGTATTTTCTTCCTCTGAATAACCGGCAGAGTTAACACAAATCTTGCTTTTTTTCTACTGGTATTTATAACCGGTCTGTGTTCCCAGGTGCCCGGTCCCAGGTGCAGCTGGTGGAGTCCGGAGGGGATGTGAAGAAGCCCGGAGACTCTCTGCGCCTCTCCTGCAAAGCCTCCGGCTTCGCTTTCTCTGACTATACAATGGAGTGGATCCGGGACGTTCCCGGGAAGGGGTTTCAGTGGGTCGGTGGTATAAACACCGGATTAGTTGCCGCATACCAGGATTCCGTGAAAGGCCGGTTCACTATCTCCAGGGAGAATTCCCAGAGCGCGCTGTACCTGCAAATGACCGGCCTGAAGCCCGAGGACACCGCCCGCTATCACTGTGCTAGACACAGACACACAGTGACAGGGAACCGGTCTGCGACCGTCCAAAAACCCAGGCAGCGGAGCCGCCCCTCCCCCGGCAGCCGCGAGGGGGCAGCAGAGACACACACACCGCTCGGGCCGGTGACTCCCTGGAGGCGGCTCGGGGAGGGAATATCTCTCCGCAAACCCACCGCCCAAGCAGGAGCTTCTCGCGGGGTCGCTGCGGTGACGTCACACGTTTTGTGACCCTCCTTGATGGCTGTTACCCCCCACGTTCACTCCGGGCACGGGCTGGTCTGACCCAGTCGGGTCCACATATGAAGACGCCCGGTGCCGGTGGCTCCACGCAGCTGAAGTGCCCTGAGCTGGTTCGCGGAACTGGTCATAGTCCGGCGCAGATCAGTACCGGCGGGGAAGAGGCTGGTGGGGCTGGTCAGCACCACACTCGGGGACAGCTACAATCGCTGTTGTGAGAGCAGCCAAGGCGGATCCGCCGCCTCCAAGGGCAGCTCCCATCGTTCCTTGCAGCAGTCCGAGCCGCCAAGCATTAGCATTTCTCTTGTACGCAGGCCCGAAGGCCCAAATTCAAAGGGGGCTGCACCCTACCACCCATCCAGACCTCCCATCCTCACCCTCTCCTACACCCCCACCTCCTGCCCAGATCCTGCATCCCCATCTCTATCCCACTCACTGGTAGCCCTGGCCCAGACACAGAACCCTGTATTTTTGTTCCCACCCAAGAGCCAAAGGGGGAGGGTCCACAAAATCTACCAGAACCACAGAAAAAGCAACTAGGACTGCATCTGAGGGAGTGGGGTCTTTGCCCACGAATACTTATGCTCCAATATACCTGTTCCTCTATAAGGTGCCACAGGACTCCTCCTCGCTTTTGCAGATCCAGACTAACAGACCCCTTAACAGACCCCTCTGATACTTAACCCCAGAAAAGTAATTCTGGCCTACTTTTATAAAGCCGTTGGCGAACGCAGTTTTTAACGGGGATTGGACGCTCAGGATCTATTCACCCTCCTTTATCCGGCCCCTGGCTTTCAGACCGGTGCGGGAAAGATTCATGGAACCAATCACTGGCATCGTGTGACTGTTCCATGTGCTTCTGTCATAGGGTGCGTGACAGGCAGACACAGACACACAGACCCCCTCCCTCTGTGTTTTCCAAGCAGAGTAAGACGGAGGGGGAGGAGACAGAGGAACCAGCAGCGGGACATTCTGTGTCCAGCCAGACTCTGGAACCCCCCTGCCAGGAGACAGAACAGCGCGATGCTGCGTCACACCCGCCTGGGTCCCCCCGTTCTACTGGCCCCGCCCCCGGCCCATTTCCTTTCAGCTCACAAACAAACAAACAAACAAAACCCTTCACCGCTGTAGGGAGGGTGACTGTGTGTATCCGATAGCGACGCTGAGCAATGGCTGGGAGGGGCTCAAAGAGAGGTTCTACCGTGGCCTCCCTGAGCAATTACAACATTTAAGAAAATTGTGGTTGAGAAGCAAAGCTTAACATCACTGTCAGGGTGCACGAGTGGTTTAAGAGGCCAGATACAAAAGCCTGTTATTCTCAGAAGTGGGTATTCTGGCCTCCGAAAGGATACGTGGGATCAATTCCTCCCTCCCCCCATATGGGCCCTGTTTTCCATGTGGAGAAGTGACCTCATTTCAGCGTCTCCCCATAGCACCTACTTAAGGCTTCCGAAGTGGCAACAGACGTTGGAGTGATTTCAAATATCTTCAGGAACTCCCCGTTCAGGGCGTGGGGGGTAGTTCTGGAAATCTTGAGGGAAATGGGGAATGTCTGCACTTTGGAAACAGAAGGGTTTGTCTTGGATCATAATCTAGAACAGTTGGATGCTGTTTTTCCAGCAGGGCGCTATGTCTTAGCTTGCCAAAGCGCTGCCTGGTAAGTAGGAGATTCAAATCCCACTGGTGCCTTTTTGTAGCCTTTGTTACCCTTTGCTCACCTTTTCCAATGCCCTTCTGGTTTGCTGTGGGGAGGCAAAATCCAGTGCCTGTCTCTGGGCATCCCGCCGGGGGTGGCTACTGCAGCCCAGGAGAAGACGGGGATTCCGGGGAGAAGGAAAACAGGCAAAGCTTTGTCCCGAATGGGCACGAGCCAGCGCTCTGTTTGGCCGAGCTGAGTGGACGATGTTGGGCTTGACGGGCTCCCTGTCAGCCTTTGCGGCTTCCCCGGGGTGTGATTCGTGGCTTTGAATGGGGGTGGGGATGGAACAGGCTGTGAGCAACAGGGATCCACGAAGCCCCCACCTGCCCTTCTGGTGCAGTCCGAGGAGCGCATCCTAGAATGGAATGTCTGGGACCTGACCCAGCGCTATTGGCTGGCCAGCTGTTCTCAGACTCTCCTGGACAGGCTGGGGCAGCCTTTCACCCGCAGGCGGCTCCCAGGCCCTCTGCCCTTATCGCTTCTCCACAGCTGCTGTGTCCCCGAGACTCCCTCTCTCTTCCCTTGGCTTCCTCAGCTCCCGGCCCCGCAGCGCTTCCCGACAGCCGGAGACTGCACTTTCCAGGCCCGATCCTGTGGATCTGAGCTTCCCGGCAGCTTCCTAAGCCCCCACCCCCTCAGGAAAAAGAGAATTTCCTTCAGGCAGTGGCCCCACAGGCTGGGAATGGGGGTGTCGCTCCGGGCACAGCCAGGATTCATTGAGCTCCTAGTGCACAAGGAAAGTTAAAAGCCACCTGCCCGGACACCTGGGCTCCCGGGTTAACAGCCTGATGCTCTGCCAGCTGCGCTGGTGGGTGACCTCAGAAAAGGTTCCAGGCTACTGGTCGGAGAGCGAAATACTTCGCGCGCACCAACGGGGCAGAGCCACAAGGGGGCAGCAAAGTGTCACGTGGGAGCACGAGGCGGGATTCATTGAGCTCCTAGTGCACAAGGAAAGTTAAAAGCCACCTGCCCGGACACCTGGGCTCCCGGGTTAACAGCCTGATGCTCTGCCAGCTGCGCTGGTGGGTGACCTCAGAAAAGGCTCCAGGCTACTGGTCGGAGAGCGAAATACTTCGCGCGCACCAACGGGGCAGAGCCACAAGGGGGCAGCAAAGTGTCACGTGGGAGCACGAGGCGTTTCTTCCCGCAGACTGACCCTGGGCCCAGGCTCCGGGAATTCCCGCCCCAGCGCCCAGGGCTGGATTGTCCCAGGGAGGGTCCGACCGCTCCGCCCCCTTCCCCGTCAGCACAAGGGCAGCGCCCAGGGCCCCTCGGAGGGTTTGGCAGCCACAGCGCTCGAGCCCATTTCACCCGGGCGGGGGGAGCCCTCGGTTCTGTTCTGTCAGTTTCCTTCCTATCGCCTGTTACATTCTGAGTTCACAATAGGAGGAATCCGATAAAGGCGAACACGCGGCCCTCCCTGAACAGCTGCTTCCCAGCCACGGGTCTGAGGCTGAAAATGCTCCGTCTGGGCGTCTTTTTCTTATTGGCAGCTTTCCCAGGTAGGTGGATGGATTCCCTGGCAGCTGCTCACTACAGATGGGCTTGGGGAGGGAAGATGGTTTTAAAGCTAAGCCAAAGCGGAAGCGATTCACGATTGTAAATTCTCTGCCTTTGAAGAAATCATGTAGCTTGGGATTTTGAAACAGCAAAGAGGATTTTAATACCTAAATTCATCATTTTGGGGGGGGGACGACTGAGTGTCTAAGGACTCAGGGCCAGCTCTGCAATACCTCTGGCTGAATCTATGCCTCAGTTTCCCTTCTGCAGAATGCGAACAACTGCACCGGCCCACTACGCAGGAGTGTGGGGCCTGTAAATTCCTTTCTACACACAAGCAGCTCCGCTTCCGCAGAGAGGAGGGCAACAGAGGGACTTGGATAATCCTGGGAAGGGGGGGAGAACGCAATTCACTGTATTTTTATGACTGACAGGTGCCAGCTCCCAGGTCCAGCTGACTCAATCTGGAGCAGAAGTCAAGAAGCCCGGAGAGTCCGTGAAGCTGACATGTAAAACCTCCGGCTACACTTTTACCAGCTATGGTATTAGCTGGGTCCGCCAGGCTCCCGGGAAAGGCCTGGAGTGGACAGGATACATCAACACAAATACTGGTGGCACTGGCTACGCCTCGGCCTTCGGGGGGCGAGTCACCATGACCAGGGACACCTCCATAAGCACGGTCTGGCTGCAGCTGGGCAGCCTGCGAGCCGATGACACCGCCACGTATTACTGCGCTCGGGACACAGTGACGGAAACCAGAGCCACAGCCCTTCACAAACCTCCAGTGAGAGAACCCAGGGCTCCTGCTAATTCCTCGCTCACCCTGGTCAATGGTTACCCGTGTGAACCCGGGTCATTACCCCCCCCCC